TGGTAAAAACCAGCTTGCTTGCTCACTGTCAAGCCTGGACACTGATGATGGAGAGCTAGCACAATGGCACTGGCCATCATCCTTTTCCCAGTAGGATGGCCACTAGGATCAATGCAATATTGTAAATGCAGAGAGAAACAGAGATAACTCAGATGCCTACAAGCATCATAAAACCCCTGGATCAACCTCTCTCAGACAAGGAAGCATCTTTATCCTCAGCCATTTTTACCTTTTCCTTTAATTGTGAAACCACATTACCCAAGACCTACCCTGGTGAAGCACATGTTATTTGTCAGATGTCACTTCTCAGTGATAAATAAAACTATATGTACTAAACACACATGCCAGGCCAGACACAGTAAATGCTGCCTTCCTTCCCAGCTGGAAAACTATCTCTCCTAGATCCCTGCCATAGCTTCAAAATGCTTCCTGTGCTAACAGCCAGGGTCTTAACAGCCCTTGGTTGGCCCAAGACTCAGAAGAATTTTTGCAACTGGGATCAGTGAAATGAGCTGCACTGATGTGCACATTATTGGGTGTTATATGGCCACCTGGGCTGGTCACAGAGGTGCCTACTATTCAAGAGATTCCCACAGGGAAAAGCAACATCAACACCAATGCTGCTGTTATAAGCACAGTAAACCTTGGTTCTCAATCATTCAGAGCCACTTGAGGACGGCTCACACCTGAGTCATCCTTTCCAGGACCACTCCACACACCAGGTGTGCAGAGGCCTGATTAATAAAGGATTTTAATTACTAGAATATGAGATGATATTGCAGCCATGATATCACTAAAGAAGGCTAAAAATTCTGATCAGCAACTTCCCTTGAGATCTCTCAATGTCCCCTCTGCTGCTCCTTAAATGGCTTAGGTTCTAGGATTTGGCTCATTCAAAGATGAGATACAAAGCAATGAAAGGTAGGGAGGGAGGTTGCAGAAACAGAATATGTCTCAAATTTTCTTGAGGTGCAACTGAGCTATAGAATGGATTGTTCTAAATGTGTTCCAAGTCAGGTATGGAGATGCACATCTGTAATACCAGCATTCATGAGGAACCAGAAGAGAGCTTGAGATGTTGCAAAAACAAATGCTAAAAACACTGGTCTGAAAACATCAGTCTCAGGGTGAAAATCTCTCTCCTTGTCTTGTAGATGACTCACTTCAGTGACTCAGAGCTTGTCCTATAGAGATCCACTGGGCCCATGTTAGCTCACTTTCCTCTACCTATCTGGAGGAAGTGCAAGGAGCCATTAAAGTGCACAAAGCATTTTTAGTTCCTCCTGATATTCACACACAAGCACCGTCATCTCCTGTCACCTCTCATCCAGTGTTAAGGAGCATTTAGATCTGGGGGCAGAGGAGATAAAGGGGGAGTCTCACATGCACAAAGACATTAACCAAAACCCAAGGCCCTCAATGAAACAAGAAGACCTAAAACCTTTGTAACATAGACAAGATTGTGAATGTTACCTTAACTATCAAAATTTTCAATTTCTTGCAGATTTTAAGAAAGAAGAGAATCTTGGTATGTTTATCCAAACTTCTATTTCTCATATTAAATACACTTTTCATCTTGAAAGGTTAAAATACCCTGTAGTATTTAAATATTTGCATTTTATGTCTTTGCCATATAATCACTTCAGCTTGGGCTTTATGCAAATATATGAACTCTTCAAACATAAAACTAAGCCAAGTTACTTACAGAAGGGAAACCCATGACGATCTTCATTACTATATGCTAAAAAAAATGTCAGGCAAATCCACAAATTTGCTAAGACCAAGATAAAACCAGCCCAACCTGCACACAGGAACTCCTCAAACACTCACAGAGCTAACAAAATACTAACCCTTAAAAATTCATTTGGAAAACGATCCTGTGACTTTTTTTTTCCTTTAGCAAAAGTGACTTGCTGACCCAGACTTCTTCTAGTCAAACAGCTGAAGTAGGTTCAATTCCCTTGAGCATTGAGTTCTAAAGGCTGCTAGTGTCAATACATTCTGCCAGAAATAACTTGAAGTCTTTTCTGAATGAGCCCCAAGGTTGTTGTAACAATATTGTCATTTTAAATTAACATTCCCATTTAAAATAAGTAAGCCTGATTTTTCTGTTTGTGATCAAGACCTCTGCTGGAATACCTCTGTGTGAAATTTAGTGCATTCACCTGGACAAGGCGGTGACTGACAAGCAGGAACTGGAACAAGAGGGCGAAGTGCAGAAGCCAAAATAGCAAAACCGGTTTTGAAAAAGAAATAGTCTCTCCACATTGTCACTTACTCACTCACTCATTGAACTGAAGCTTTGATTAGGCAGAGGAACCAACGGATACAGTCTTTTCCCAAAAGATTTTCTTATCCTCAAAGTACTTGACAGTCACAATCTATATGGAAATGTCAAAAGTATAGCAAAAAGATTGCAAGCAAGCCCAAAACTGGGAACAACCAAGATGTCCTTAGTCACCACTCCATGGATACCACTCGGCAATGGAAAGGGAAGAACGGCTGATGCACACCATGGCTCAGATGGACTTCAAGTACATTATGCTAAACGAAAGCAACCAGCCTTGGTGGATCATGTACTGTACAATAATACTCAGTGTTCTCAAAATGACAAAATTGTAGATTGAACAGAACATAGCAGATGATCAATTTATATGAAAGGAAGTTTTGTTTGGCCTCACAGTTTCAGAGTTTTCATCCATGGTCACTTGGTTTTGTTGTTTTGGGACCAACAGGAAGGCAGAATATCACACGGAAGAGCAAGTGATAAAACAAAGCTGTTCACCTCACAGCCAGAGAGGAAACAAAGTGCTGTGGTCCCAGGTGCCCCTTCAAGGCCATGCCCTCAGTGGCCTCACTTCCTCCCACTAGGCCCCATATCCTAAAGGTTCCATGACTGGGGTTCAAGCCTTTAGTATATGAACCTTTGGAATTTACAAGCCATAGCAGCTCTCAAGAGGGAAATCTTTGTAGTGAGAAATAGCATGTATTTTGATGCAGCTATGTGTGTCATAAGATGGCACAGAACTATCCATGTGCATTGTGCCAAATCAATCCCCTGGTTTTGCTGCAGGACTATCATCACTAAGTTAGAAGTGATGAGTGGAGGAAACCAGAGAAAGAGTACATGAAATCACTCCAAATTGTCTTTGCTGTCATTGCAATATTTGGCAAATCTATAATCATTCAAAATGAAAAAGGGAAGAGAGAGAGCAAGTGGGAGGGAGAGAGAGAGAGGAGGAAGTAAAAGAAAGAAAGAAAAAGAAATGGTGTGAAAGGATATTGACAAGTCCAGAGATGAAAGGCGACAGGGAAGATTTGGAGGAAGGGACAGCAGAGTAAATATTAGAGGTCACAGTCAGGCAAGCTGACAGGCAGAAACTGTTTGGATTGTAAATTGTAAATGAACTCAGTGGACAGAGAAGGGGAAAGATCATTGAACTGTTACCCCTGAATGACAGGGCTGGAAATGAAGCAGAGTGAGCAGGAAGATGTGGAGTAAATGTGGCAGCAGCAGCTGAGGAAGACCCTGTGGGGACTGAGGGGCAGGGGGAGGGGTGGACACGGCAGCTGATGCTCCTCGGGGTGTGACATGCATCACGTGCGAGGAAGGAGGATGACCTGGGAAGACATCTGACCTAGGGAAAATACAGAGAAGGGAAACACTGCAGAAACCAGTAAGTTCAGGACGAAGAGGCAAAACTGGGGGGCAGGAGCAGAATGTCTGAGAAAATAATGATGAGGTTATGAAAGAACGGCACAGGTAAATGAGTCACAAGGAGAAAAGTGCTCACTCAGGTTTGGAACATGACAGAAAAAGAGGAGTTCTGGGGGTAAAGGAAAATGGCGAGCAGCAAAACACAATGGCCTGCAGAAAAGCTTTCCCTATGTGGGTCTACAAAGAAACAATAACATATCCTGAGTGTTCCAGATTTCTTTAAGAAAAAGCTTTCCCATATCCTAATGTGCTTCAAATATATATCAAGTCTGATTTTTCACTCCAAAAACACATGCTTTTAACAAGCACCATTCACGCAAAAGTAACACAAATCTGCAGGAGCCTGAATTGCCATTGGAGAAAAGTTGATAGATAGGACAACTTTGGAGTAGACATTTGAAATCCCTCAGGGCTCCGACCATGTTCAGCTTCACAAGACTTTGATGTTCCCAAGAGTAAGATATCAAAATCTGTAAATTAGTTTAGAATTCTAAAATCTTTGAATCTGAGGTTCAGAGTGGACATAAAGGAATTATCTTATGCTGAAAGCCCAACTCGTGATCTCTATAAGAGACACTGGAAATGTGAAGAAGGGCAGTCCCAAAATAAAGGGAAGGAAAAAAGATCATTAGCCACTTCTCACAGATGGGGAAGTTAAAAAAAGAAAATCCCAGTTTCGGCTCCTGGGTAAATAGCAATTCAAAATGCTTTGGAAACATTCACTTAAAAGTGGAGAAGGAATTGATGCTATCCTGAAAATGTGGTTGGACAAGATTCCATTTGTTTCCATGGCCACAGAACCCAACCTTTAGTCTGGGATAAGAAGATAGTAGATCACCTAAAAATTAGGAAACCCAAAGCGTATGATACTCTTTGCCAGGTATTGTTCCCTGATAAATTTATCTGCCTGTGACAATGCAAAGAAAATCTTATTTTTCTTCACAGTTGTTACGTAAATCCCATGCAAGGAAAGAAGTACATTTTTAGGGGGAATGCTTTGATAAACCAGATCAATGCCAGGCTTTCAGGCATGTGGGTGGGCAGGTGCCAAGGACTGAGATGGTGGGGAAAAGCTTTCTTTTCTTTTTTTTTTTTTTAACAAAAGAACTGAGTGGAGTAAAAGAATTCTCTATAAGGGAGAATTTTAGACGCTACTTGGTGAAAGGTTTTAAAAACCCAAAGGACAAGCCAAGAATAAAATTAGGAAAGACATCCAATAGCAATTTGGAGAATGTGACTCTGAGCATTACGTGATGTAAATTCCCTCTTTGGTCTTACTTACGAAATCTTCAGTAAAATCTGCAATCTCTCCCTTGTGGAGTAAATTTTCTTTGCAGGAAGTCTAAGGGCAGAGTCCACCTCCAAGACTGGCATGCGGGCTGAAACACAAGCACAAAGGCTACCGTGTTGCTAACCATGAACTATTTAAGAGGAAAAGAAACAAAACAAAACATACAGAAGAAAAAGTGGGTAATAGAATGAGTACCACTTTGCTAAGTTTTGCAATTCTTCAGTCACTTAGGGGATCACCTGAGGGATCCTCACATCCATTTCCCCCAAACCCCCAAGCACGTATAAGTATACAAAGATGATTTGCTGCTGTAGCATCTTTTTTCTTTCTGTTATCGCGTAAACCTTATCAATTACCTCAGAAATAAATCTTCGTGTCCTTAAAATAATGACATAAGTTCCCTTTGTTCTTTGCTGCTTCCTTCTGTGGGATGTCATCTGATTAGAGCCCTTTTTTCTGTAAAATATCATAGTTCACTCTTTTACCAAATTGTCAGGTGCTCTCATTGTCACTACCAAAAAGATGGGCTACTAAAGGAAGTGAAAACTGGACGAAAATCTGTAACTTTATCACTTTATGATGAAATTCTTCTAGAGAGGCAATTTAGATCTTTATTAGCATTGTTGCTGAATCTAGGCTAGTTGTTTTGTAACACCACACACACACACAATAGTCTCATAGGTGTCTGCACTGGTTTTGCCAACATGCACAACTATAAGACTAGGTAGGCAGCTCACAGAGCAGCTTTTCAACAAGCACAGGCAGCCTGGAAGGTCCAAGCAGAATAATTCTGGGGGTGGAGAATACCTACTTCCAATCCTGGTTCTTTCTTGACTGCCAGGAAGTCTTGAGAAAGCTTCCTACAGTTTGAAAAGTCACTAAAACAAGGCTAAAATTTGCCTTGCAAACAGAAACAAAAATACTAGGCATGCTATGGTTTGGATAAGTGTCACATAAAGCCATATTTTAAAGGCTTGGTCCCCAATCTGGGCCACTGTTGGAAGGTAGTAGAACCAATAGGTTGGGGGCCTCATAGAAGGAAGTTATTGGGAATCTGTGCATAAACTGGGTATTTGGATCACAGCCTGTCCTCCTCCCTACTCTTTGTATCCTGATTCATTGCTCCACAGTGTGCTCCTGCCCTAACAGCCTGCCTTAACACAGCGCCAAAAACAACCTGGCCAACCAACTGTGGTCTGAAATTTCTGAAACAATGAGCCAAAATAAATGTGGTCTCCTTTTAAATTGATGGTATTCGTTATGGTCACAGAAATCTGACTAATGCAAGAACATAGTGGATGTTGAAGCCAGAATGGTTCCTTATTCCCAATCATACAAATATTGACTGATCAGAAAAGAAATAGAAATATCTAAAAATTCGAAAGTCTTGCTGCTCTCTTTACTCTGTTCCTTTACTCTGTTTCCAATTTGCTTTTTTGATGCTGTCCTTTCTGTGCCACAATTCTGTCCTCTAGTCTTTTCTACCCCACCTAACAAAGTGTGTAATTGTCTTCCTAGCCCACAGAAGAAACTACTCAACAATTTGCTCTAATAACCATGAATGCCACAGGCACCTGAGCTACACATTACCAAGTCATTGAAGTTATTGCAAGAAGAAGTATTACAATGTCTGGGTTTGTCCAGTGTAGTGTACTGACCAGGGCAGAAGGACTCCTTCCAACCCAATTATCCAAGAGTCACTATGTCCTCTGTGTCCCTTCCCACAACACCTCCAAAACAGTCTTAGTGAAATATCTTCCACCATGATCTTCCTTTTTAAAAGTTTTTCAGCCATGCCCTCCACAAGCACCTACTGATATTACCCCCACACTCTTTCGATTGCCAATCAATGTGATGTGCTGTCCCTCACGATAAAAGCAAGTGCAAGCCACACACCTACTTATAAACTAGAAAGTTTTGCTTTCTAGTCTCTAGCCTTCTCCACAGATGTGAAGCAGCAGCTGGCACTGCAAGAAGCCTTCACAAAACGTTATGGATAAAGAAATCCACTAGAAATGATTTTAAATGCTTTTCCATACATCCTGAGTCAACTTTTGGTGCTGGTTGCATGGTTCTTCTGTGACCCGTAACCATTCCTCTCTTGTCCTGTTTTCTCACCAGTTCTGACTCTGCTGTGCATCTCCCACAGCTGTGAGTCTTGCTCTTTACAAATGCAATGGCTCCGTGTAGATATCTTGCTTTGATTTGATTTTTCCTCAGATCTTAGTAGCTTGCATGGTTTGGTTCATAGGCCTCCAAGTCATGTGATGAGTAGGGTTATTAGACTCAGCAAATAAAAATATAAAATGAGGGGCTGGGGATTTAGCTCAGTGGCATAAGCACCTGCCTGGCAAGTGCTAGGTCATGAGTTTGATCCCCACTACAAAAAAAAAAATACAGAATGCTTGGTTAAATTTGAACTTCAAATAAAAAATTAATTACTTTATATGCTCCATTGCAATACTGGAAGCATATTTATGTGAAAAAAAAAAACCTCATTGTTCATGTGAAATTTAAATATAACTAAGCATTCAGTGTTTTATCTGGAAAACTCACTGAGATTTTTCACCTGAACTGTTTAATGAATTAATCTATATGGCCAGTCACTGACACCTGGACACCAAAGCTAGCTTCTGTGCAGTGGATTTCTAATAATCCTTGATTACCAGAAGCAGAGAAAAAGAGAATAAGCCAGTTCTAGCAACTTGCATATATAAATCATCTATCTGGCAAAGGAGAACTTTGCTCCATTCTACTGAGCCAAGGTGGCATTGCATTTCAAGAGATGGTGCACAGCAAGAACAAGAAGGGAAAAATCATTGTAAAATTATGGCATGTGGCATTTACTGCCTTCTAAGAAAATGATTCCCCCAGAAGGTCCCCACCAGCCATACCTTGTAAACATGTCCTACAGCACAGCTTAGTGGAGGTGGGAAATATGGTTGAATATGTTCACTAGAAAGTCATCACTGCCCACTAAGCCACCCCAATCCTTAGGAGTCATGACCTTGTATAGCTAGGGACAACAGAAAAATTAACACCATGCCCAGAATTCAAGAATATCTCCAAAGATTCTGGGCAATTCCACAGGATCCAAGACAGTAGGATATATACTTTCTACTTAGAGAAAGAGGGCATTTTTTTCCTTTGTAATATGATTTCCTGGCTGGAGAGGAACTATTAGGCACCCTGAGATGCTCTGTAGAAATGCAAGATGATATTGTATTGTATTAATGTCACTTAATGGTAGCTGTCAATGATAGTGATGGAATAAATATGGAAAAGGAAATTAGTGTAATTGATTGACAGTCTGGAATCTTCTATATTCGACCTAATGAGAGAAACCTATGAGGAGCAGCTTCCAGTGCAGGCTATTAATGCAAATCATATGCACCATACTGGCATGCTGAATTATGCAATGCCATGTGAATGTCTAATCCATTTCACCAGGCTTGTCTTTATCCAGAAAAAAAAAATATTTCACTGACATGCTGATTAGTATATTAGGAGAGTTTAAGAAGTTGGGTGCTAAAGTAGGTGCCATCATGGTGTTATTAATTTAGTTCTGAACAAGACAAACAGCTATGTGCAGCCATCAAAATCACTACATAAGTCTACAAGATAACTTTGTCAAGACTGATGGGAATTTACAGAAAAGTCTTGTGATATGTGGAGGGAATTAGCAAACAGATAAGGAGCACATCATTTTTCTAGAAAACCACTGTCAAGGGCTGAGGTCCCATGCCGAACCAGACACCTGCCAAGACAACTACCATGCGTGCATAATTGCTGTTTTTCAGATGTTCAGAAATTTGTGGAGACCTCTAATAGAACCAGATGCGTGAGGTCAAAGGAACAAATAAGGTTTAGGGCCTTCTTTGGGGACTCATGGAGATTTAAGCAATGACCAGATACCAACCATAGTAAAACACTCCGTGTGAGAATACACTTTATATGGGAAGTAGTCCGTTGGGATGAAAATTAAGTTGCCAATTACCTATTACTTACACATCTCAAGAACTCATAGCTTTAAGACTTCGAAAGCATTAAGCTCTTTACTCCGCACATTTTAATGTTTAACAATTGGATCACTGAAGAAAATGCCTAGACTTCTAACTATGTGTCCCACCACTTCCTATGAATTAAATCCTGCTTTACTGCTCACAGGTGCCACAAAGAGAGCTATCACAAACAGCAATTTTTCAATAGTGGTCTCAAAAGTCTTAGTTGAGCACATGGACAGACTTTTTATCTTATTCCACAAAACCTCTTTGACCATCTTTTATGTGCCAAGTACTCTCTAGGGTATGGCTATCCACGCCTGCTCCTGTCCTTGAAGCTTACATTCCAGTGGAGGTGGCAGATTCAGAGTTGTAACTATAAGGGAATGTGAATAGTGTCACAGAGGAGGACTCACAGGTATGTGACAAGGGAGCAACGTAACCGTGGAAACTGACATTAGGAGAGGATACGTAAAGCCTGGACTACATAGATATTGGGCTTTCCTTTTAATTAACAAATAAAAATAATATAATTTTACAGCATTCAATAAGATTTCTCAACTATGTATACACTGGAATTGCTAAATCAAGCTAGTGGACATAGTCTTTATCTTACATATGCAACCATTTTTGCCCTGAGAATATTCAAACTCTACTCTTTTAGCAATTTTCAAGTGTACAATACATTGTTGCTAACTGTAGTCACTACTTTGTACAACAGATAGATTCAAGTTACCCCTCCTGTCTCACTGAAGCTTTATACCCTTAGACCGACTCTTCTCCACAGCCCCCACCACCTTACCGCCCCATCGCCCCAGCTTCTGGTAACTAACCTCATGCTTTCTGATTCTATGAGTTCTACATTTTAGATCCTACATATGAATGAGATCATGCAATATTTGTCCTTCTGTGCTTGGCTCACTTCATCTAATGTAAAGTTCTCAAGTTGTATTAATGTTTTTATAAATTACAGGATTTCCTTCTTTCTGTGACTCAGTAAAATACTATTATGTGTTGTTGCACATACCTAAAATGTCCCCACCACCACCATCAGAAAGCTCCCAGTGCTGAAGATCTGGATACCAGCTGGTGGGATTTAGGGAAGTGATTGGGCCCTGAGGACTTTGACGTGCTCCATGGGATAATCCAAAGACAAGATCATAGTTTGATGGCATTATTGGAAGGTGATGGAAACAGAAGATGAGGGCACGGTGAAGGAAGTGGATGATAGGGGCATTACCTTGGGGACTATATCTGGTCTCTGGTCCCTTCCTCTCTACTTCTGACTCTCTGTCTCTCTCTCTGTACTTCCTGGATACTGTGAGATGAAGAGTTTTCTTCCACCATGACCTCCTACCATAATGTTCTGCCTCACATAGACCTAAAAGCAATGGAGTTGGCTGACTGAAAACTGAAACATCTGAAATCATGAGCCAAAATAAATCCTTCCTCCTTTAAACTGACTTCCCAGTGTATTAGTCATTCTCTTGTCACTGGGATGAAATACCCAACACCTACAATTTAAAGAAGGAGAAGTTTCTGTGGTTCATGGTTTCAGTCCATGGTAAGCCAGTTCCAAGGTGGAAATAGCATAAAGGAAGTCAGGACAGGGGAAAGTTCTTCAACTCATTGCAGCCAGGAAACAGAGAGAGGAGGATGAGCCAGGGACAAGAACACATCTTTCCATGTCCGCCACCAGTGACCGACCTCCAATCAGACCTTTTCTCCTAATAGCACATTCAGCTACTGAACTCACCAACGGATGAATCCACTGATGAATACAGCACCCCATTGTCCTAATAACTCCAAACACATGAGACTTTCGGGGGACATTGTAAACCCACACCATAACACCAAATACTTTGTTACAACAATTAAAGATGATTCACACACACACATACACACATGCACAGGAATTTGGCACCTGAATGACTGAGAGAAAGGTAACGTGTTTTCTCTACCCACTGATCTACCAGTGACACTTAGGCTGATTCTGTATCTTGGCTGTTGTAAGCAGTGCTGTAATGAATATGGGAGCGCAGATATCTCACTACATACTTTCAATTCCTTTGGATATACGCCCAGAAATGGGATTGTTGAATCAAATCACAATCCTATTTTTAGCTTTTTTTGAGGGATCTCCATATTATTTTCCATAATGTCTGTATTAGATGTTGACTTTATTTTTTAATTTTTAATGATCATGTAGGAGCACAAACGTATATTATATTGGAAGAAACATACTTAACCAACTTATGATTTCATTGTCATATACACTGATATAACTTTTTCCCTTTTTAATTAAACTAATTTAAGTTTTAAAGGTGTGTCAACTTAAGGAAAAGATTAAACAATAAAGTAATTAAACTCAAATGTAACACAGATTGTAAAATTGGTACATGAATGACTGGATGAGGGAAGGGTAAGGGGCGGCTGCCCAGAGGGAAGGCCTGGGGAGAGTTGAAATAACACAACTAAGAAAAAGAAAGTCAATTCAGAAAGTTCCTCAGTGTGCTTTCACATATATTATTTCCTTCTTTCACCATTCCCAGTCCCCTGTGGTGTAACATATTCTCGTTGAATTTTCTATAGAATAATTGAGGCCCTTATGAGGTTAAGTAAAACACTACAGGTCACCCAGCAAATTAGCAGCAGAGGTAGAATTACAACACAGGCCATCCTTTGCCCAACTGAGAGCTGAGTCCCTCGCCTCCAAGTTCCGAGTATACAGCAAAATGGAAAATGAAACTTTATGTAAAGAAAACTGGGCAAAACACAGGGTTTCTGCAGGGGAAATATGGCTGCAGCTGGCTGCAAAAACATAACCTCATTTTGGTTCCCATATGACCAATTTGAGGTCCTTGTAGAAGCTCTGCTGAATGTCTGTTCTGTGTCTTTTCAAAAAAAGAGGCAAGTCACTAAAAAGTAGAGCTGGCCACACTGGAGCGGTCCATGTCCCATCCACCACAAGGTCAGCTCACACAAGAAGAAAAAGTGTTCTGTGGAAAGTGTCCTAATCACTTAGTAAGAGGCAGCTTGGCATTCCCCTATCCCCTGGGGAAGCCAGTCCTATTCCCAGACTCCACCTCCCTAGAGATCTTGAATTCCACAAAGCAGCTCCATGCTGTAGAAATGAAGGGATTGTGCTCCACCATAATCTCTTCTGACTTTATGCTCCTGATGCCTGGGCTTCTCAGGCCCTTCCAGTGCCTTCTCATGTCTGCCAGCATGTCTCACCACCTCCTTCTTCATTCTAACCCTGTGTCTTCTCATGTTCCTTCCTTTCCTCCATCCCAGCATCTCCAGCATCAGGGGTCTGATACACAGTTGATATCTCTGTCACCATCTGCTGGATGTCATGCTCTGCTCTGGATCCTGGGCAACCACATATGGTCCTTGTTCCCACTGACCCTGTACTTTAGCAGGAAGAAACAAACAAATCATCCAGGAGGTTAATAAATAGTGATAATGGTCTCCATGCAGGAGTACTTTTTAAAGACTAATGTGGAAGACAGTGCCCAAGTGAATAGTTTGCAGTAACATTCGAGCTCTAAATCCTGTGAAGGGCAGGCAGAGAGGGTTCCAGTAGAAGGAAGAGCTCATACACAGGGTAAGGAAAGGTTCCCAGGACTGGAGGAAGGGAAGTGTGGTGAAGTCATTCCAATGGGGCCATCAGTGGGCCATGTTGTGTGACACTATTCCATGCATTGAGATTTCCAGCATCCCTGGTCACCTTACTCATTAAGTATCAGTGTAGCCCCTAGTTTTAACTATTAAACACACACACACACACACACACACACACACTTTTCACAGTACAACTGAACACTTGTAGTCCTACCTAGTTAAAAAGAAAATACTTAATCACAGAAAGATGGGATCCAAGTGGAAAGACGGTGAGAAAGCCGGGCCTGGGTCAACCGAGTATTGTAAACAGATGTGTTCTTCTTCTAGGCTGCCGTAACACAGTACCACGGACTGGGTGGTTTAAATAACCAAAATGTGTTAACACACAGTTCCAGAAACAGAAGTCCAAGATCAAGGCATTCGCCAGACTGGTTCCTTCTGAGAGCTGTGAGGGAGAGCAAATCGCAGGCTTCTCTCAGAGCTTCCCGTGTCCTCAGGCAGTTTGTGCTTTGCAGATGGTGTCTGCTGCATGTCTTTCTGCTGTCTTGGTGGCTGAGAAGAGAGGTCCTGAAAACTATGATTGTGTAGACACAGTATGTGGCCAGGGAGCACCTCTGAAAGAACTGAACAAGGAAATGGGCAACATGATCTGGAGAACCTCTGCTTAGGGAGAGAAAGCGATCTGATACCAGCCCACCAAGAGGTGTCACCTGTCAAGTGGAGACCACCCTTCAAATGGAGAGGCTGAACCAGGTGATCCATTCTGTTACAGTTGGGATCTGGAATGTTCCCCCAACAGTCCCAATGTGTTGACAGCTTGGCCCCCAGTACAGCAATCTTCAGAGATGATGCTTTGGAAGGTAACTGGATTCTGAGGGCTCTAATTTCGCCAGTGGATTAACCCATTGATGGATTAATAACTTGATGGCATTATTGGGAGGTTTCAGAAACATAGGAGGAAGGGTCTCTTTTAAGGGAGTGGGTCATGGGGACATAACCTTGGGGACTATATCTTATCCCTAGCCCCTTTTTCCTCTGGTCTCTCTCTTTTCTTCCTCCCTCCCTCCCTCCTCCTTGTCCACTGTGAGGTGAGCAGCTTCCCCCCATTACACCCATCTACCATGATGTTTCTGTCATGCCACATGCCTAATAGCAAAGCAGCCAGATGGCCATAGATGGAAACCTCTGAAATCATGAACCAAAATGAACCTTTCCTCTTTACATTGTTATTCTCGAGTATTTTGTCACAGTGACAAAGCACACTAACGAACCTTTTAACTATAGGGGTAATGTAAAGTACCAACAGTTTCTACTCTTTGAGTCAGGACAAGGCTCTGCTTCTGCCATCTTGAAAAGATGATGGCACTCATGCCTCATCCTTACTCTCTTCTCCTCACCAGCTGATAATGGTACACACACAGGAAAGCACATGACCCCTTTCTTTCAGAGCTGTTCAAATGCACGTTCCATCCAGTGAATTAACATTTCCATCTCAATGAACAAGAACAAGTTAATACACCTACAGCTTGGGCTACCTTCCAGGGTTTGCCTGTTGATGGATTAAAAAGTATGTCAACAGGTTTTATATTAACAAATATTGCAAAGCAGAAGCTTTTGTTTGTTTTGTTTTGCTTTGCTTCCCTGGTCTATTGGTAATGTTGCTGAACCCACACCTACATTCATGCAAAGGTAGATGGACCAAGACCAGGTGCTGACAGCTCGGCTGAGACCTTGCTGTGTGAAAGTGCCAGAGAATTGCATCTGTTGCCTGTCAGTCAGCTGCTCGATCTGCCAAATGAATCAGCCATGAGAGGAACGGTAAGTGAGTGGGTGGGCAGTTTTTTATTATGCAATTGGGGAGGATGACATAGTTGTCACAAGATGCACTTTTAGGTGGCTGAGTCTTAGTTTCAATATCCTGTAATAGGAGAGGCATTTGGCAACCTTTTGAGAAGAATTGCTTTTTTAAAAAAAGATTATCCTTAATATTTTTTTGAACAGTGCATTACCTCTGGACCTTTCCACAGTATCTTCTTTGGATGTACGTTTGTCGTTTGTGATGAGGGGATGAGTTAGATGCAAGGTCGCTACACAGGCAGAGAGGCCATGCTACACCACAGCTGGCCAGCGACAGCCCACAGACAAATTCCAGCCACCACCTGCTTTTGGACAGCCCATGAGCTAAGAATGGCCTTCACAATTTTAAATGGTTGAAAAAAATCCAAAGCATTATATTTCATAACATATGAATCACATTGCATCACACATGAAAATTAAAGTGATACGAAATTCAAGTTTCAACGTCTATAAATAAAGTTACTTTGGCATAGAGCCAGACTCGTTCATTTACATTTTATCTGTGTCTGCTCTCAGAGAACAGCAGTGAAGCTAAGCTTTGCTGTTAGCGATTACGCAGCCTACAAAGTCTCAAATGTTGATTCTCAGATGATTTAGGGAACAGTTTGACCTCTGCTGCTATAGAGCTTGAGGAAAAAGCCTGATGGATCCTGTAGTGTGGTTTCCCTGCACTTTCCATGGCTCTCCTAACTCCTTGTAGATTGCTTTGGGAAGTACAGAAAAACCTATAATGAGCCAGGCAACATGCAAAGGCCTGGGCTACATCTGTCAAATGGAGCAGACAGGCCCTGCTCTCAGACTTCAGGCTCCTCCAGAAAAGCAGGTGCAAGTCACCCAGCTGGGAATTAAAGACACTAACCCCAGCGAAGTCTCCCAGGATGAGGTGAGTGAGGCTATAAAGCACAAGAAAGGTGCCCGACCACCTGTTCTGGAATATCAGGTAAAATCTGCCAAAGCAGAAGTTAATGACTGATGTGGAATGTGTAGGAAGCAATGACACGAACCAAAGGAAGAAGAAGACAAAAGCAACGTGTTGACCACGTCTGTTTTGCTTCCTTCCACCCTTTACCATGCTGGGATAGAGTGGAGCACAAGAAGTGAGACAAGCTGGAAAGGAGTGAGGGTGGTCAGGTAGGACCAGACTGTGCGGAGATTTTGAAGATTTTGGCTTTTGCTGAGAACACTGGAAAGCTGCACAAAGTCAGCAGTACTGCTTCCTCAGCAAAACTCTAGACACCACCAAAAGACCGCAGGAAAACAGATAAGCAAATGAATGATGAGTTATTCATACACTGAAATGTTCAAAAGTAGTGGAAACAAATCCACCACAACTAAGTGAATCAGTATGGATGAGTCTTGGCAACAGATTAGGAAATGAAAATTAAAACAAGAAAGCTGCAGATCACATATAGCATGAAAAGTTAAAGATAACTAGAAGTTAACAGGACTTTTTAGAGACATAATTATGTAGTATATATTTATCACTATGTATTTGTAAGTCTATGGAAAAGATATTTCCATAAAGCAAGGAAAGAGTTAAACCCAAGGATCAGAAGTGCAAGCTGGTAGCATTATGGGGTAGGGACAGCACTCTTCCGTAGATGAATGTCATTGTTAGTGTCCCACTTCCTGTGGGCAAGAGATTCCTAGGCATTTATTATATTAAAAATTAAAAATAGCTATGAGAAGTTATTAAAGCAATTTGTAATGAAGCATGACATGATTTGCAGTCCATACTCATCTCTCTGAGAGTGTTGAGGAGACTCCTTTGGAACAGGGCAAGTGTGGAAGCAGGGATACCTGTCAAGAGGTTAGCAGAGGCTGGGTGTGACTTAGTGCCACAGTCCCTGCCTAGCACACACGAGGTCCTGGGTTCCATCCCCAGCACTGGAGGGAGGGAAAAAACAGAGAGGCTACTGTAAAGTCACAGCCAGAGTCAAGGGCTCGAGGCTCAGAGTGGGGAGATTACTGTCCCTTTGCTCAAAGTGATTTGCTGTCCATTTTAAAATTTAAGGTACCGGTATTGAAGAGACAGCAACTTTATACCCTAGTTAAAAGATAGAAGGGAAGAAAATGAATCAGGACGTGGCCCCTGAACAACAAATTTCTAAGGTGTTGCCACAAGAATGAACATGGACTACATCTGAAGGGCAATTTGGAGACACTTAGAAGTATTTTCAACTCCTCCTATAAAAGTAAAGAGAAAACCACAAAAAAAAAAAAAAGTTACTGAAGAAAATATTATGCCCTCTTAGGATCGATTTTGCCCTCCTCTCACTGTACCTGTTTCCTACTCCACAAATGTACCGAAAATTCTCCAAAGTAGCAATGTAGGAAAACTGATTTAACAACTGGCATCCCTAGCTTGGATGACCACTCATTTGTAAATGCAATTTGAGGCACATAGTTCAAGGCTGTGACCAGCAAACACAAGCGAAGATTGAAACTCTGTTTCCCACAGGACAGCTCTGCAGCTTAAGAGGAAGCTGCCATCTTCTGGCACATCCAAAGGCTACTGGGTTCAGGCCTTTCACGCTTGCTTGGGCTGTCTGGTCTCTCACAGGTCCCTTGCTATGAGGCCATTCCATGAAATAAGGCTTAGGATTTGGAGCTATTATCTTCTCTCCTCCCTTAACTAGCTAAGGGATCTCAGTTTCCTTGGGACCTGTGAGTCTGGACAACAGACTCTCTAAGGGTGGCCTCCATCCCTAAGAAATAACCTCAAAACACTCCTCCATACTGTTAAACAAAAATTACAGGAAGCCATTGGTTGGGATAGCAGTTCTGCATGGGTCCAACAGAGCAGACTAAAAGTTGAAATGGAATCACTCATGCTAAAGTTCCATGGCACCAAGCCAAAACTAAGTAGCTATCTGACCTTCTAAGATATCAGGATTAGAGATATAACAGCCAAATTTCTCAAACAGCCCAGTTTCAATTGGCAGTGATAAGAGATTCCTGCTGCCTTAATCTTACACATAATGAAAGGTAAACCTAAGTAACCTAATGTTAACCATTTCCGATAGTCTTGTTGCTTTATTCCCACCAAACAAGGAAAGAAGCTGAAATGACTGATCACCTCTCACTCTCTGTTTCTTCTTTCTTCAGCTCTTTTCTGTCTATAAAACCCATTTCTTCTGTTCATCCCACTGGAACATTTATTCTACTTTCTGGGATAAAGCATTTCCGGATTCCAGAAGCGTGAAGCCTACTAATGTCTTCACACTGAGTTGATGTCACTTTGTCCTCTGACGCTGTCCTCAGTGCTCTTTGTTTCTCTGCATCATTGTCAAATGGTCCAATAAGTTAAAGTCCTGTCCCAACTGGCTTTGTTTTCCCTACAGACTCGGGACAGCAGGAGGAGGGCAGAAGCTGGTGAAGCCTCTCCCTGGTGGTGACAGATTCTTGTTTTTAAATTCCTGTGGACAGGCCTTATCCTCTGTAAGTCTTCTCTGTTTTTCCTCTGTACCTTTTATGGTTTGTTGGTTATTGTACTTGCAAAACAAACAACTTAAAGAGAAAACAAAAACTAATGGGTCACCTTCCTCCACCTCTTCCCATCACTCTTCAACCACCAGGCCTTCTTCCCCAAAAAGGAAGGAGGCATAACATTATTTACACCGCAGACGTCCCAGTTACAGGCTTTAAAGACTTCCAAGAGAGTGTTCTCACTCCAGGGATAGAAGACAAGGATCTGTCCCTCAAATGATATGAAAAGTAATAATGATAATCTTTTAAAAATTGCTGGAATTATCAAAGCTGTGAAAGCCTTAAAGAAGAATAGATTTTTAATTCTGAGAAATCCAGAGGGCAATTCTCTCAGACAGACACACACATGATGGCCCAGTGGTACTGGGCGAGGGGGGCGCTGCTTGGGGAATGCACACATACAAGCCCTGCAGAGATGGGAATTATGCACTCCAGTAACCCTGGCAATATCACAGTTAACTCATTTACATTGAAAGTTGAGCAGATTTGCCCCAAGTAACTGATTTAGTTACTTAGATTGTAAATCCTAGCCCTGTGGAACTGAAAAGTGACTAGAAGGAGTCCCTCTCAGCACAATCACCCACAGAACAGGACAGGAAACTGAGGCCCAGAGACCCCCAGTGACTGGCCCTGTGGCAGAGTTGGAACTCAGAGGCCGATTTCCAACCCCTGCAGCCTTTCAGCTTCCTTGAAATTATTCTGTTATCTTACAACGGACAGAAAAGCAATGAGGGAAACAAGATGGAGAAAAAAGAAATTGAAACAGAGAGAGGGATGCAAGAGATAGAGAGTGACAGAAATTACAGGAGAGACTGTCAGCCTCAGTCTGTGTTTATCTGCCTCTGTATCGGCTTCATCTCCTTCTTCCCTGAAATCTGTCTCTCCCTTGTCTCCCACAGGCTGGCTCCTGAGAGAACATCACATTAGTTAGTTTATCCCAAATATCTTTGAAGAGAACTTGCAGTGAGCAGAACATGGCAGTGGGGTGGAGGAAGGCAGAAGGAATTTTTCAGAACCTTTGCCCATCCCATGCCCACCCCTCACCCCTGCCCAAGAGGAAATGAGACACAATCATATATGCTTCCAAGTACACACCCGGAACATCGTCTGGCATTTTCAAACCATGCAGAATCCTGGACCCTGCCCTCCCCAAACCTAAGGGACAAGAATCTACATTTTAACAAGCTGCTTGGAGGACTTGAAGGCACGCTGAAGCCTGAGAAGCAGCGATGTGGAGAATATTTGAAATGTTCTTTCAGACGTCTGATTCCTCCAGTCACAAACTTCCTTCCAGGCCCAGGGAGGAAGATAGACAGGTCAGAGATTTTTAAAGAGTGAGTAAGATTTACATGGTCTTTTAAATGCTAAAAAAGATCCATTCTGGGCTGAGTCTGAGGAGAAGAGGCATTCATTTTAAGCAGGTCATCTCACACACACACACACACACACACACACACACACACACACACACACGTACACACTTACATCCACACACACACACACGCATTCATGCACACACGCACTGCAGTTGCCATCACAAGAAGTCCTCTAGCAGTTCCAGCTGTGCAAAATCCGAAGGCATGCAGAGTGGAAGATTCCCACCTCTCCTAAATTCAACAATTATACAAAGCAGGAAGGATTTAATTTTTCATTTGTTTGTTTTGAGTTAGGGTCTCACTACACAGTAGTTCAGGCTGGCTTGAAATCACTAAGTAGCCTCGTCTGGCCTAGAACCTCCAGCGATTCTCCTGGCTCAGCCTCCCAAGTGGTGGGATTATAGGCGTGCACCACAATGCCCAACTGTTTTGTCTTATTTGTTTTTGCTTTGTTTTGTCTTGTTTTTTTGAGAAACAGTCTCAAATATTTTGAACTTGCCCAATCCTACAGCAAAGCAAAGCTCCTTCCATATCTTCCTGAAAAGGGTTACAGACTCAGGTGGAATGGAGGAAGATCTGGACAGTTCCACTGCTTCCTCACAAAAGCAACCTCAAAGTCAAGATGTTTCTTGAGTGGCCCAGTGGCAAAAATCACAATAAAAAAAATTTGACAGGGGCATATTTCAGGTGTCAGTTCCAATGGGTGAGTAACAGTCAAGGAATAAAAACCACCCAATATAAAAGATATCCCACTTTGAAGCTGACAGGGAATATTGACTTATATCCTTACTTTTCCCAAGTGTCATATCCCCCAGGAGTCACACTGACACTGCAAAGGTTTCTTGTGAAATAATTCCTTCACCAGCATCAGGGAATAGCCCTGCCCTTTGATCCAAACAGATACAATCTCGAAAGTTCCCTCAGTTACACATCTCCAGATGGGCTGCCCAAAATAAGAGCTCTGAAAGGAGAGAACAGGAGAAAAGTGTGCATCAGTGTGGAAGGAGCAAGCTGTTATAAAAAGAAGAGGGACAAATTCTAGAATGTGCATTCCATGAACAGACTCCATGTGTGATATGTAGAAGGCATTTTATATCCTTCACAGCTTTCACTTAATCTGCAGATTTTTGCCAGTCATGTTCACGATTATAGCTGTATGCAACTCTTCATAACACAAAAGCTAAAAAAAGGCCAAAACTTTCACCTTGGACAATCTGAATTCTATAGCTTTCGACTTTCTCTCTAGACACACGTACACACACCTACAACCACCACCACCACCACATGTGGTAGCCATCATAGTAACATCATGTCATTGCCCACTGAACCCCAAGACATCAGGATCTCAGGCCTCAGGACCAAACATAAGCCTACTTCCTGCCCCAGGTCCTCCTTGTCCTTTAGAGACAAGACATTGAACTTGGCTTCTAAACTGGAAATATTCAGGGACTGAACCAAGTCACCATCTCGCTGCAGTACAACCCTAAAATAACCCCCACGTGTACACACACAGCCCTACATATGCTTCCTTGGCCTTCGAAAGCTATTTTTCTCTACTTTTATTAGATTTTGAATCCACCTCCATGGCACTGCAAGTCTGAGGACGGTCCAATCTGCTGCAGATTTGAGCCAGCTCCGACAACACGAGGAAATTGTTGGCCAGTTCTACCCTGCTATAAAAATAAGCAAACCTGAGCTCTGTTTTCTCTTCATCACGTGCAGGCTGATGGAAGCCAGAACTCAGTCATAAAGAATCGGGATATTTTGCCTCTTCAGAAGAACTTTGGTGGACGAAGAGAAGAAAGGGGCTTTAAATATGGAATAAGCACTCTTGAATAGGAAACAAGGCAGAGAGAGGGAGAGAGAGAGAGAGAAAGAGAGAATGTGTGTGTGTGTGTGTGTGTGTGTTTGGCTCCCAGCCAGGTTGCAAATGTGTTTTCAAAGCCAATTACAATGCAGAGATCGAGCAGTCTATCTGTTCTTCCAGCAGATTGCTAAGGCCAATCAGCTGTGTGGGGCTTTCGGGAGCCCCTCATTCTTGGAGACGGGGGACAGTTCTCTATAGAAGCCTCTTGATATAAGAAAGGATTTCTTTTAAAAAGGACATCTTTTATTTCCCCATCTGTTTCCTCTCACAGCACAATTTGGGGTCAACTCGGGTCTTACAACATTCAGAAGGATAATTTGGCACTTTCCTTCAGTAACTGTGAAGATGTAGACTGCAAAGGGCTCACTCTGCCTACTGTTTTCTCTGCAGAGAAGCCCAGGGTGATGGGACCACCCCCCCAACCGCCTGGATCTCAGGATCTGTTATAAATAGACAAGGGGTGAATGACTTTGGAAGGGCAAAAAAGAACAACCCCCCTCCCCCAAGAAAAGGGTGTTAATTGAAGCTGTTTTCAAAAATTGCAAATCCCTGGATGTAACTGCTTAAAGCAAATGAGACATTAGCGCTCCTAGGAAGAGCTAGACTATGTGGAAGGCAGTAGGCCGGGCCTTGATGGCTATCTCAGCTTTTAAACTGGTGAGAGTTGGCTTCTCAAGTCCAAACATGCAGGTACAAAGGACACTTAATCACAAACAGCTGAAAACTCTGATATAAATCCCAATAAAGTGGAGGAAAGAACAAAAACACAGAGACATTTTAGCAGCCGCTGAACAAATGAACTGTCCCTGCTCTTCACCTTCTCCTCCTCAGGGCTGAGCTCCCTGGACAGAAGGGTAATCAAACTGATGGTGCGCGGCTGCCTCACAATACAAGCCACACCTCTTCTGTCTCTGCCATATCAGGTTTCCTGTCTACTTTCACAGGATCAGAGATTTCTTTCCATCCTCTTCTTCTGCAAAACTCAAGGGTACAGGGAAAACCACCCACCTCATGGACAGTCTAATTTTTTATTATTTCTAAATATAGTGCCAAAGGAATGCTGAAAATAAAATCATTTACAACAAAATGGTCCTTGTGAAAGCATAACTATTTCTATACAATGCCTTATATCACCAGAAAAAGGAAGAGGAGAAATGGATACAAAGAGAACTAGAAATTCATTTCTAGTTAAGTCTACTAGGTGGTGTGAAGAGAAATACCTTGATGAAATGAAAAGATTGAATTGCTTAAATCAAAATGATAAGAATATTTTGCTGTTCGTGACCCATATTGGATTGTGTCATAATCAGATGTAACATCTAATTATTAAATCAATATTTAAAAACTTCATTAAATTTTTAAAATTCTAGATGCATTTGTGTGCATGCATGTGTGTGTGCATGTATGTGTGTGTGTGTGTGTGTGTGTGTGTGTGTGTGTGTGTTTGGCTAAGCAGCAAGCTCTAACAGCCGCTATCTGGTTCAAAACCAAAGGTCACAGCATTTTTATGGAACAGAAAAAGCCCTGTGCTAGATTTCTTAGAAGCTACATCTGCCTTACTCTCCATCACTTCCCACAACCCTCACCCTCCACACCAGGACTGGGCACCCACAGGGAAGTGTGGGACACTTGTGGGACTGTGCTGGATAAGACAGGAGCAGCTGTGGGCAGGCTGGACTCCGAGACCCTCCCAGCCTACTGGGATGTTAAGTGCAGAGTGTGTGTCTCCCACTTCAGAGGATGAAGCTCTAATCTCCAGGGTGAGGATAATAAGGGGTCAGACCTTCAGGAGATAATGAATTTTAGACAAAATTTGCTATGGTCAGAAGCTAATGTTGCCCCTACATTTACAAATAGAAACTTACACCCCTCTCCCCAGATGCTGATATTGGAAGTTAGAACTTCGGGAGGTAAGCAGGTCAGAGGGATGGACTCTTCAAAAGTGGGATTCATGCCTTTCCAAAAGAGAAGGAATGAAAGAGGGAGAGAGACAGAGATAGACAGAGAGACAGAAAGAGACCATTCCTCTCTTCCACCACGGGAGAACACAGCAAGAAGGTGGCACCTTTGAAACAGAGTCGGCCCTCAGCCTACACTGAATCTGCTGGCACCTTGATTTTGGACTTCCCATCCTCTATAATTATAAGCAGTAAACTCTTGTTGTTCATAAATTACCTAGCCTAAGCCAGGTGTGGTGGCACACACCTGTCATCTCAGCATTCTGGGAAACTAAAGCAGGAAGATTGCAAGTGGGAGCCCAGCCTAGGTAACTTAGTGACTTAGCAAGATTCTGTCACCAGTCAATCTACCAATCTAACAAATAAATAAACCTAGTCTGAAGAAGCATTTTGTTATAGCAGCTGCATAAAGTAAGACAAGGCACTTATAAGCAGAAGGCCGAGGTCTCTCCTTCTCTCCGGGCACAGCTAGCTAGGAGAGGCCATGCAAGCACACAGTGAGAAGGTGATTGTGTGCAGGCCACGAAGAGGGTGCCCAACAGAACCCAGCCTTAGCAGCATTCTGACCTCAGACTGCCAGCCTCCAGGGCTGGGAGAATATACTTCTGCTGAGTAAGCCACCAGGGTGGGGGATTTTGTGGCCTACGCTGACAAAGACACTGGGTGAACCCCATCTAACTCTTCCTCTCCTCACAGCAAAAAAGCCTGTCCTCAAGATCACCTTCCTCCCACTGCTAAAAATAATCCCTCCTCAGCCAATTCCAAAAGATCTTCACTTCCTTCCTTCCTTGTAAAGATCGTGGGATTAAGCTTCTGACTTTCAGAGTTAGGGTAAGGCTCAGAAATAAAACTGTGTCTGTGTATGTTTATGAACACACTGGCCAGGGAACACCCTCTGTTTTTTAAAGACCTACAAGAAAAATACAACTCCAGGGGATTTTTGCCACCATGTTCCCTGCCAGTCTCTTCCCATCTGTGCTCAGCCTCTTCCAACAGCCTCAGTCCGACATGTGCGTCGTGTCTGGTTCTTAGAAATACCCTCGTGAAGGGGTGAAAAGGTCACCCAACTCACATCAGCAGAAGCAAGAAGGCACTGGTGGCACTTGTCTCCATCAATGATGTGTTTTAGAAACCTCCTAGCAACAACAAGCCTCTTTGTTATTGAAGTGAAATGTTTTTGAAGCACGGAGATACAAAAAATACACAAAGTCTGGGAACACCCAGACATGCGAAACTCCTGCCCTGACAATGCACTGACATTTGGTGAAACTGACGTGAGAGGATTGGCAGGGGAGGTAACAGAAGGGCAGGGCCTGAACTGAGCTGTGATTTCCACCCTACATCTCCACTACTAATCCCTTAAGACTCCCCACTGAGATTTTTAGCTGTGGATCACCCCATGGTGATCAGCCTTGGTAATCATAAGCTTTCCCAAGATCAAAAAACATCAAGAACAATTTTGTAATCCAACATCATGAAAGCCTCATGAAGGATGTTATCATAATTAAACCAACAGTTGTCATCTTCCACATACACTCCAGTAGAATACACAAGGGTAAGAGGGAGTCAGATGGGAAAGGAAGTGGCTTGGAGAACTCTGGACAATAGGTAAGTTCTGGGAATGGGCGAGCATAGCTCAGCCCAGACGCCCTCCAAGAAAAGAAAGGAGCAAGCTTTCTGGACAGATAGGAAGCCAGGGAAAGAGTTTTAAAAATAACCCTAAGCAGATGGGGCCAGCAGAGGCTTCCTGCGTACATGGCAATGGATGGGAGAAGGTACAATTCCACATATATGAGAATATGCCCCACTTTCCTCCAGGGAGCATCCTAGAGATGCAGGGGCCCACAGGCCATGGCCTGCCCTCTACACAGGCCCTAAATGTCCAAGCAGGGTGTTCCAAGGCATCATTTGTCAGGTCAGAGGAACCAGGATTGGTGACAAGGCCTGGGACAGAAACATGGAAGAAGAGATTCAAGGGCACAGGTGATGCCCTGTTGCTCTTGCCCACGACATCATGGAAGCCAGCCCTACAGCTTTAAGTCTCTCCATTCTCATTCCTCCATGATGTGTCCCATCAAGGTGGTCTCCGATCTCCACGGTGCATTTGCAGCTCTGTGACTTTTTCTGGGTGTCTGGTCCCCTTTACCTACCACCTACATTCATTCAGATCATTCGGCCTGCCCTGTCCCCTTTATTTGGAGTTTTTCATCTTCCTATGTAACATTTTTAGCCTCACTGTGCAAGAGGGGCAAGGTCCCCTGTTTCTACCTCAAGGACTATTCACAGAGAACCTGACAGCACTTGAGAAAATTTGTTTTTAGACCTCTTGTGCTGGGACAGAGATTTTTCTCTGCTGCTGCCCTAATCTATGGTGGCTTCACTCACAAAGCCATGGGAAAGAGAGTGTCTGCTCACACCATTCATCCCAGACCCGTGGCTCTGCCTCTGGAGAAAACAGGGTGATGCTCATTCATCCCCAGATACCTGCTGACTTACTGGTCTTCACTCAACTCTAATGGACGTTTAGGGAAGTCCTGCTGGTGGGTCAGTTAAAACCTTTCTTCAGTCTCAGAGGATGGATGCTCTCTTACTTGATAGCTCTTCACACCCTTTCAGCCTCGGTTCACATATATGGGCCCATCTCTTGTCTTTCTGTCCCTGTTTGTCTTTCTGTCCCTGTTTGTTCTAGCAATCTCCCTTACACCACTTAATTAACCAGCCCATCCCTGCAAAGCAATTATCCTCACATATTCAGCACCCATTTATGCTATGTTTTCTTACAAAATCTTTTTTCACAATGTTTCTTGCTGTCTGGTATATATGTTTTTAACTTGCAGAAATGATTTGTGTTATACATTCTGTCTCTTTTTTATCTGGATTATATTTTTTAGGGGAATCCAAATTGTTATTGTACTTTAGCCTGTTGCTTCTAATAACTGCATGGGATTTGCATAGGTGATTATCTATCGTACATTTTACTCAATTTCCAGATGAAAGGTGGCTCCTAATTCCCCAATAACACAATAAATGCCTGTCGTAATCACTTTTTACTCATTGCTGAGACAAAATACCTGAAGCCCAAAGTTGGAAAAGGAAAGGTTTATTTCTTACAGTTTTTGGAGGTTTCAGTCCGTACTCAGTTGGCTCCAAGGCAGGCGGGCATGGCTGGGCCAAAGTTCATGGCGGCTGCAAACAGCAAGCAGCAACCGGCAAAGAGCAAGACACGCCTTCTTCCTGCCATTACATCACATCCTGGCTCCACCCCTATGTGGGTGGAGCACTGACACCATCAATCCAAGCACTAGACAATGAAGCATCACAAATGCACAATGCAAACTTATGAGGCCTGGGGGCCACACACATAAACCATGACAATGCTCATATATTAATATGAGTATCCGAATATATTTCCACACATAGACCTATGTGACAATTTCTTTGGGTTATACACCTAATTATGGAATGGCTAGGTCACAGTGTATGCAGATGTTGATTTACTTGAGTTGTGCCCAAATATTCTTGAAGACTGCTATATATTGATCTAGATTCTTACTTGCAGTATATGAGAGACCCTCGATAACTCAAATCCTATTCTCCATTGTCAATTGATATCACCCAGCTTCTAATTTTTTTCTTTTAATTGGTATAAAGCAAAATCTCATTTGCATTTCTCTAGTTATTCATACATATGAACATTGATTTATGTATTACTGTCTTTCAGATGTTCTCCTTTTTAAAATGCCTATTCTTTCATTTTGTTCATTTTTCTAATGAATTGATTTGCAAGCCACCTTATCTATTAGTACATATTAATATTGATTGATTTGAAAGTCACCTTTACATATTAATATTTTGTCAGCTTTTGACATTGCAAACATCTTCAGTTGCTCTACTATCTCTCTATCAAGTTTGTTACAATGTCCTTTCAGGAAAATTCTTAATGATATAACAAACATCAATATTCTTTGCCTTATGGTTTATAATTTTGAAATTCTACTTAAGAAGTCCTTCCTTCCTCTTTCCATAAAGTCTTTTCTGCTAACATTTCTTTTACTAACTACAGCTTTGCTTCTCAACTGTGCTCCAATATAGACCTATGATCTACTTGGAGTCCACTCTTACATGCGGTGTAAGTTGGGGATCTTCTATTCATTTGTTCTATATGATGAGACATTTTTGTCAATCATCTTCTATGCAACTCATCAGTCTCCTAGAAATTTCTGCATCTCATCATTGTCTCTAAAATGCTCATCTTT